CCCTGCTTTAAGGAGAGGCAGTCACGAATGTACTCTCTGTCTCTACACATTTGCCTTGTATGGGCACTCCACATACATGGAATCATACAACATGTGGTCTCTTGCATCTGTCTTCTTTCATTTAACATAATGTTTTTGAGGTTCGTCCAAGTTGCAGCACACATAAGTAGTTTGCTAAATAATATTGTCCATCTGTTCGCCAGTTGAAGGACATTTAGGTTGCTTCCAATTTGGGGTATTACTAGTAATGCTGCTAAGAACATTTGTGTGTAAGTTTCTGTGTGAATATATATTCATTCTTTTGGGTAGATACCTAGGAGTAGAAGTTTTTACTTTATGTTTTAAAATTCTCTTCTCCCTCAATGGTCTACCTTTCCTACAGGGTTTTTCAATTTAATTATTTTTAATTTAATTTAATTTGATTTTTATTTTAATTTACCAATATACAATATAGTTAATTTTCATGTTCCTTTGCCAGTGCCTCCTTTTCCTCCCCCTTGCCCCCACCATCAACATCGTATCTGTTCACTTGTCTTAACAAGATCAAGGAATTGTTGTGATCGTTGTGTCTTCTTCCCCCCACCCCTGTTCATTTGTATATTTACTTATTTATTTTTATTAGCTCCCACAAATAAGTGAGAACATGTTGTATTTCTCTTCCTCTGCCTGGCTTATTTCACTTAATATATTTTTCTCTAAGTCCATCCATATTGCTGCTAATGATAGTATTTCTTTTGTTTGTTTGTTTTTGTTTGTTTTAATAGCAGAGTAGTATTCCATTGTGTAGATATGTCACATTTTCCTTATCCACTCGTCTGATAAGGGGCATTTAGTATGGTTCCAACTCTTGGCTATTGTAAACAGCACTGCAATAAACATGGGAGTACAGGTATCCCCTCGCCATGATGATTTCCATTCCTCTGGGTATATTCCCAGCAGTGGGATAGCTGGGTCACATGGTAGATCTATCTGTAATTGTTTGAGGATCCTCCATACCATTTTCCATAAAGGCTACACCATTTCGCAGCCCCACCAGCAGTGTAGGAGGGTTCCTTTTTCTCCGCATCCTCACCAGCATTTGTCATTCTCAGTCTTTTGGATATTAGCCATCCTAACTGGAGTGAGATGGCATCTCAAAGTGGTTTTGATATGCATTTCCCAAATGCTGAGTGATGTTGAGCATTTTTCATGTGTCTGTTTTCTTCCTGTTTGTTTATTTTGTTATCTATGTGAGAGTACTCCAAAAAGTTCATGGAAAAATAGAATTAAAAGATAATATGAATCTTTCCATGAACTTTTTGAAGTACCTTCATATTCCATTTCCACATTAGAAGCTATTTTGGGATAGCAGGGAATTTTTAGTTATCTTCTCTTATTTAAGAGTAAGAGACATAGATTGAAAGCTCTGGGTAATATTCTTCTTATTGTGAGTTTCATGGTGAACTTACTGGATTACTGAACTAGAGAATCTCCTATATACGTATATTCAGCCCTTTTTATTTGGCTTCATCAGATTCCCTGTGGAAGACTATTCCAATTTGCTGCTGAAGGGTACAGTATATAGAATATACCTTTGCACTTAGCTCTCAGAATTCAGTGTGGTACTCCTGGCCCTCAATTGTGTCCAGTGTCCCCTAGTCCTTAGACCATCTCCACTGAATACACCTCCAACATTTTCCAGTGTGGGGTGAGAGGCAGTAGCACAGCTTCTTGAACTGTTGGAGAGAATAGGGATCTGACAGATGTCAAGCAAGAGCATATTAGTCTCCAATTCTAACTATTAAATGAAGTTTTCATCTCCTAAAATCTGATGTCTTTCTTTAATTTGAGTAAGAGAAAATTGGCATTTTGAATAATAATGAGTTATATGAATTTCAGAACTTTCTTTTGTGCCATCCAATATTTGAGAGAGATAGTGGAATGTGTGAGCCAACCTTACATGTCATTATATTCAGTAAGCTTTAATTCTGTATTTTTATATAATCAGAAAAAAAGTTTCCCTTTTTATACAAACCCCAGTGTCTCTATTGGGTTAAGATTTAATTGATTTTTATTTTTTGGAGGCTTCCTGTTATAGGGATCCAAACCCTTGACCTTGGTGTTACAACACCACACTCTAACCACCTGGGCTAACAGGCCAGCCCTTTTTTTTTTTTTAAAATAGAAGATTATACCAAGAGATATTCACTTTAATGGTATTTTTTTACATCTTGCAATACTATGATTGAAGGTA